GATGCTTTTTATGTGCATAGCTGATTTACCAATTTCAAAAACATCGACATTTTGCTAAAGGAGAAACGTTCAATTATGCTCATTGAGCGGCTTAGGTGAAATTTGCGATTTTGCTGAGCTCCAGTTGTTAATGGTTCCATGAACACAATCGGAACATCACTCCATCAAATTTGTGTCCGCACTAAATTCTTTTTCTTAAGCTTTTCTTCCTGGTTCGTCTTTTGTATTATATCGGCTGTTTTTTTTAAAAAGCTAAACACTTTTTAACTGTCTGTGACACCACCTCAAGCTGTATCAGTGCACACACCACTACACAGCCATTTCCTGTGCTCCCCACCCCCAGCCCATGTCAACCACTCTCATCTAGCCTTTCAGCTAATCTATACCTTAACCCCTCCACAACAGGAAATTGCTATTTAAGCGCTTTTTCTTTTCTTGCAGCATGAACGAATTACTGCACCAAAATGATGGTTTAACCGATTATTTGTACATTTTAGTTTTGGATTCTATACACACATGGATCTCCTTTTCTTTAAAGTAACAAAGGCGTGTCAGTTCTAGAACGGGCAAGGTTGGGAATATTACAAATATTGCATCATCCATTCATTATTTAAATAGGTACGTGTGTAAACCTCTGTAATTTGTTCTACCTGAAGGGTATGTAAAGCCATTCAATCCTTCCAATGCACTTCTCTTATTTGCTCCCTTTTTGTTCTCTTTAAATATACAGTTGAACGTTTTTGTTGTATCTATTGAAGTGCAAATAAGACTGCGCCAAATGCCATAGCTGTCCTGGGCACAGTTCCTGTGTTAATTAACCCTCCAAGTTCGTATCTTGGGGTTACAGAATGATTGGCCTTTATGGAAGAGTGGGAGATTTTTAGTAGTTTAGCAAAAACAACTGGGCAGGGCTGGCACCACTCAGTCCACAGAAATGCTGTGTGTTGTCGGGCCATTTCTGGCAGATCATTAGCTATTTCTGTACTTGCAGGGTCTTTAAGGGGGTATTGTACAGGAATTATAGAGATATATTACATTCATGTATTTCTTTTTTTAACCACCATTGCTTTATAATCCGGGTTACCCAGTCATCCTGCAAATTATATGCACTTTCAGGGCCCATTCATACCACATCCAGATCATCACCAGACTAGATTGTTTCCGGGCCCAAAATGCATCCAAATGTATCTCTATGCTATTTCTGGCCTATGTGCACACCTGTGCAGTCCGTTCCAGCCCAGAAAAATATTGCATGTCTCATTTTGTCTGGTCTGGAACGCATACAAACGTACTGGAACGCAGCCCATTTTAAGCTATAAAAAAATTATCCGGACCGCGACAAAATCGTGGTAAAATGCAATGCCCTGCGTTCTGGATCTGGTCCGGAAAATGGTGTGAACCTGCCCTCAGGGATATTTGAAGATGGAGGAGAGTAGAGTTGATGTCTTGCCCAACCGGTCGTGCTCTACATGTCTAGTTTCTAGTGCAAATTTGCAATGCCACATTGTAATCCAATTCCACTATTTTTAATGGGACTTTAAAACCTTCCCTGAAAGGAAGTAAGGGAAGTGTCCCCAATTCGGAGTTGGGCTACAACAATAGGCTTCTTTCAGCACAGCTGAAATGGCTGGTTATATGAAAAGGAGACTAGAGCTCCATCTGTTGGCTGGATAGAAGACTACATAATATTTATATGCAACATTGCTTAGCCAACAATATTTTACATTTTCATTTTTTTTTTTAGTCCAAACCATAGTTAGAAAATAAAATAAAATTACTTTACATTCCCTTTAACCAAATAATGGATACACTGACATCCTTAATGCTCTATAAATTCTTCTTAGGGCCCATTTAGCCGTGTACTATACACGCGTGCATTGCAGTTCCATTACATTTCATTGGCAAAGCAAATATAGTAAACTAAGTAACGCTTTTCAGAGCCAACAATGGAGTTTGTGGTGCATAGTGAGACATTCTTGTCATGCCTCAGAAATGTTCTTAGAAGCACAAGCAACTTACTCTGTACCACATATTTTATAGCTGTTTATATGATGGTGATATGTAAAAAAAAAAAAAACGGAATACCTATGGTAGTACATATGGTGGTGGTGTCCATATATGATTAATGATTAATGTAAATCTGCTTTAGGGTAATATTTGAAAGCATGCTTGGCATTCCATGTTCAGCCAAAATATATTTCATGTTCAAATATTCAGAATTGAGAGAACAGCTAGTTTATTGCTGTGACAGATGTTGAAGATCATAATAAGAAATCTCCATGATCAGTTAAAAGGTCATAAAAATCAAAATAAATAAAATAATATATAAATATACTATGAGACCAGGTTGCGTAATAACTCTCACCCAAGGGATGATGCTGGGCTTTGTTTTTAATTATTTCTGTTGAATCTTTTAAGCCCTTTATGTGATAGTACAGAGTCAGTGCCATGTGCTCCTCATTGGGGCAATAGGGGTCTTTTAGACTTCTGTTCCTTCTCTGCCTCTGGCCAGACATACTCAAGAACACAGTCATTAGCTTAATCGGTTACTTCTGCTGCAATTTTTATACATCTGAACCCAAAAGTGCGTAGAGTACTGTGTAGTAGGGATGCACCAAGACAGAGAATTTGTGCTTCCCAGCTAATCAGCGTGAAGCTGGCTTGCCAGGCGGGGGGTAATGACCTGTCTCCCAGCTTCCAGTATCAGGCCGGGAAGCCGGCTCAATACTGGATTGGCTGGGAAGCCGGCATCCCAGCCAATCCGTATCGATCCAGCCAAACAGCATGGAGACGGCTTCCTGACCAATCAAAAAGCCGGGCGATGGTTAATGACCCTGCTTCCTGATTGGCCAAACAGTTGGCTTGATGCTGAATGGCTGAGCATGCTGGGAGCCGGCTTCCTGGGCAATGAAGAAGCCGGGCGGCGAGTCATTACCCACCGCCCAGCTTCTTAATTGCTTGGGAAGCCAGCTGCATGTGAGCGGAAGTACCGATATCGGTACTTGGTATTGGCGAGTACCGAAATATAAATAGCGGTACTTGGTACCGAAAAAACGGTATCTGTGAATCCGTACTGTGTAGCTTCTCTTCTGCTGTAAATACACATGGGTTCCTCACACATCATCCATCAGAGAACTCCTAGTTTTATATCAATGAATGCAAGGCACTCATTAGATGAAGGGCGGTGACGTCAGCTTTGCAACCATGCTCCCCCAGGAACCCAAAGACTTTGGTTTCCCATATGCTGCTCAGCGGGTCATGGAAATTTAAGCTGGATATACACAGTTCTATGTGTTTCATTCAAATCGGGTGCTGATCAAACAAAATAGAACAGATTCCTCCATCCACTTTCGTTCACAAAGCCGCCACGGTTTCCTTTGTATTCCGACAGCGGCCTAGAATACCTGTTAGAAGCTGATTGACTTGGTCCTTTGAGAATTTTCCAACTGGCTCCTTCAATCAGCTGATCGAGGGATGCCAGGAGGAAAGGTGCCTTCATTAACAACTGTTTGATGCATGTGTAGCATGTGGAGCCTCCGCCGGATCCACTCCTTGTCCAATCAGAGAAGGTAGTGTTGCAACATGACTGCCCTTTACTGCTCCGTTCTTTCAGTGCAAGGCTGTGCTTTAGCTCATGGAAAAGAACCCCTTTTCTCTCAACGGATAACCTTTAGAGTTTGTATTTACAAATCTAATATAACAGTCACAGTGTGGAACAGGAAGGAAGTATACATGTGAATATAACTGTCAATGTCGTACTATAGTAACGTTTGCCATTAATAACACTACTGTCAGAGTAAATGTTGCCTCGTCAGGCATGTCTTTAATGCTTTAATTATAAAAGGATCTCAATTCGCACCAGATTACAAGAGCAATATACAAAATGACAGGGATGGTAAAGGAAGACTTTTTCTTCCTTTCCATGTACTTCTATTATTTTGTACTTTACTAGGGAGCAGCCAGTATATGTGTGTAAGAACATGTTGGGTAAATATACAGAATCCAAATCAGGTGGCAACTTGCTTTCCTGATCCGATCTTTATACTGTCATCGACCTCTTCTACTTTTCGGTAACCTTCATTTACATTTCCGGTGTTCGCTGCCCAGATTCTTAATCACGAGTGTTCATTAATGGGTCGTTGGACAGGCTGCAGATTAATTTGCGGCTGATAGGAGCTCCGTACGACTGCTGCTGCTGCATAAAGTAGTTAAAGGAAATCTCAGACAAACAGCTAAATACACATTTGCAATACATATCTGATTACCTGCCAAAGGATTTGTACGTTTCTACAGCCATTAATGTGAGTTGCACATGTATCTCTCACTGCAGAGCCGGACATGTGACTCGCCTAGTTCCTGGTTAAAGCCCAGCTGAACCCTCTGTTTAAATCCACTAAATACATTCCAAATGCATCAAAACAAAAGGTGTTCAATGTCTTACAGTTCATTTTCTTTCTAAAGCAGCCACAGCCTTAGTAGAAGGGTCTGTGTCGTGCCAGCATGCTGCAGAGTGGGACCCTTGCTCTCTGTGTGGAAGCAGTGGTCTCATTGCAGAGGTCTGATAAACTCCCTGTTGAGTCAGACTTCTAGCTCTGTGATCAGCAAAGCTCATGCTCCCTTCTAATTTGAAGAGCAGTGGCTCCAACGTAGGAAGTGCATCAAACCTCTGTGCCTTCAGACAAAGAGCAATCACCTCTGTCCAGCAAGCATGAAGTTGACCCTGGACACAGTAATACTAAACCAGGAAAAGCAGGGTGATCTTACTGACCAGAAGTGTGTGTATCACATGAATGGCTGGCCAAAATTCAACATTTAGGTAAAACTGTAACCATATGTGTATTTCAAATCCGTATTTAGATGTTTGCCTTGTGTCCCACTTTAATATGCAGCTGCTATAAGGAGCTCTGTATGGCTATTGCTGTATAGTTAATGTCTTGTAAATGAATATACCTTGAAATGGTAAAACCACAACACTTACCTTTTACTGCTTTCTCCAACAGTTATTGAGGACACTCAGCCGTACGCTGCCAACATGACAGACGTGATCAGGGACGCAGGGGTAAAGCAGCCTCTTCCACCCCGTGTAGGGGAGAAGCCGACCATGGATTTTGGATATGTGGGCATAGATGCTATTTTGGAGCAGATGAGGAAAAAAGCAATGAAGCAAGGGTTCGAGCTGAACATCATGGTGGTTGGTGAGTATCTTTATCCATATGGTAGTAAAGCATTCCCATTTGAAATGTGACGCTAAGGATATTGTATTGGAGATACAGTATGTTGTGGCTGGCCACTGGTTTCTGCTGCTTATCCTAGTCACTGCAGGACATGGGGTTAGTGAGAGCAACCACAACAACCAAAGGAGGACTCCCTATTCCACACAACTGGAAGTGTGGTATAGGATCAGTGTCAGGAGCTTTGCTACAGTGGGAAGTTTTAGGCAACAGACTGGAATGTATAAAGCTGCTTTTTTTTCTTTTCTTTGGTTGGAGCCTTTTTTTAATGCTGTTGACCCCCCCAAAATAAAAAAAACAAAAATATACATATCCTAACAAAGGTACATGATTAACGCTATCATGATGGGGGGAGGTTGATTCCAGTTCCAAACTTACATCTGTCACAAAAGTTGCCAACAATATGAGTCTAAATATATAAATAATTTGATCCAGAAGTAGATGGGTCTTCTGGGTATTTTTACATGGCAGGACTGTAAGTGATTACCGCAGTCAGTGAAGGTTTAAATAAATTACACAGTGTTTAATTAATTAGAGCACTTACATGTGGGCAGTACAGTTTGAGTTTAATGCATCTCATGATCTTGGGGCCTTGTGGTTGTGATCAGAACATGAAGAGACACTGAGTGACTTCAATAGAGTAGAAAGTATTTTATTTTGTACTGGGTAAAGTCATTTTTTTTTGGCTTTGGCAAAAAAATAAAAAAAAAACACTAGACCTGAAATGGAGTGAAGATTCAACTTCCAGCAGATGACTTTAAAGAGACTACAAGACACTGCAGTGGTTTAAAACTTTGAACCAAAATGTCTTTGTATGGCCCAGTCAAAGGCTTGACCTTAATCCAGTTGAAAGTCTGTGGCAAGTCTTGAACATTGCTGCTTACTAGTGATGCAGGGTACACGTACTCAGCCAAATGCTGCCGATGCCTATCCCGATACCAGAACTTCCGGTATCAGGAAGCCGGGCGGTGAGTCGCTACACGCTGCCCAGTTTCCTGATTGTCCGGGAAGCCAGGTCCATGCTCCCTAGTCACCAGGGAGCATGGAGATGCCTTCCTGGCCAATCAGAAAGCTTGGAGGCGGATATTGACTTGCCCCCTGGCTTCCTGATTGTGCAGCTCCATGCTGCATCGTCACTTGATCACAAGGGAGCATGAAGCTGGCTTCCCGGCCAATCAGGAAGCCGTGCGGTGTGTAAAGCCATGCCGCGAGTCATTACCCCACCCCCAACCCCCCTGGCTTCCTGATTGGCTAGAAATCCGACTCCATGCTTCCTTGTCACCTGGTGACGAGGGAGCATGGAGACACCTTCTTGGCTAATTGGGAGGCTGGGCGTCGAGTCATTACACGCCTCCCTGGTAAGCAGGACTTCGGCGGCGAGCCATTACACACCGCCCGGCTTCCTTAATCGGACTTCTGGTATCGACGAGTACGGGAAAAAAAATATCGGTGATTTATACCAAAAAAACGGTATTGGTGCATTCCTATTCAGGAATGCACCAATGCACCAGCCAAGCAGCGCTAAAGAAAGAGAGTCAAACACTGCAAGGTCCACATGTGCAAAGCTGGTAGACCTACCCCTGCTGTAAGTATAGCCAAAGGGGGTTCTTCTAAGTATTGGAATACGTAGTGACCACTAACCACTGTCTACTTGTGTTTTACCATAAAAACACATCTATATTTTGGACTTTTGAGGTGCTAAGTACGTTGCGTTAACAAATAGTAAAAATCCAAGTTAAACCCATTTTAATTACAGCTTCTAACACTACGAAATGTGGAAAAGTCCAAGGGGGTGAATACTTATGTAGAGCACTGCATTTCCCATAGAGTGTTGATTGATCTCACACTGCATGTACTGTAAATTATGTAACAATTGTTCATCTCTTTGTTATTTTCTTAGGTCAAAGCGGTCTTGGAAAATCTACATTAATAAATACACTCTTCAAATCCAAAGTCAGCAGAAAATCTGTGCAACCGGCAGCTGACGAGAGAATTCCAAAAACTATAGAGATAAAAAGTGTCACTCATGGTAAGAAACAGGACTGGGGTAAAAATTCATCAGGTGCAGGATATGAGGACTAGAACAATGGATCGAATGTTATAAATCATACCTAGCACATACTGTAGTGTATATACACGTGATCTTCAATAGAATGAAAACTACCATAGACAATTACGTTTCTCATCCAGTTCTACAGGAGATGAGATCTGCGAGCCTTTTATGATGACTTCCACTCATCTGGTTGTAACATGAAAGGGAGAATCTCTGGTGGATCCTGCATGGCAGGGGCACCCGTAGCCTTTTTATCCCTTTCAGTAGCCAGGAGGGAGAATCAGGCTGGTTGGGTGTTGCTGGATGGTGCACAATCAGTGACGCCACTAAGCCACACAGGGAGATGTGTAAGGGCCACACATCTCTCCGCCCAGCTCTTAGCAACCTGTGACGCACAAGCCAGAAAGCGGGCAAAAGACACGCTGCAAACATTGTGCAGCAGAGCGGCCATACTACTTAGCCTGACACCCATATAGCCCATTGGGGGAGTGGCTTTCGTAGTTTTGAACAGGCGTGGCTGAACGGGTTGGCACCAAGCCCAGGCTCATCTCTAGTCTCTGTACCATCCAGTTTACATGATGGACAATTTTTAATCTCCACTTGAAAATGACTGACCTGCATCGTGTTCATGAAACAGTTACAAAAGTCATTAAATGCTTGCTCTAGTCAATAATCCTAAATCTTTTTATTCAACACTCCAAGACTGGTGTGGTCATACAAAACTGCAGCATTGAAGACTGGTCATGAAATCTCTGACTGGTTATGATTTCCAGATAACATCATGTCTTTCATGTTTGTGCTCGGCTTGTAAGTCTGTGTCATTCAAATATATGCCTATAAAGGTTATCACTATATGCCAGGAGGTGCTGTAGGCCCGGGCTATTTCTGGATTAAAGGGCACAATGGAACCAATTTTTTCTGTTTGCACGCGTTTGCAGTTTTCTCGCTCTTATTAGAAAATGGAATAATCAGGAAAACTGAGCTTTCTCAGCTCTTATCGATTGGACTCCAGAAATCTGGTATTCGATTTGCTAGAATCAGAGCTGCCTACTGGTACAACTTCACACCAGAATAAGATTCCTATAACCGTGTCACTCAACATGGCACTCTCTTGTTGTAGCCAAGTCATTTTCACCTCTCTATATGGTGGCTTTGTTTAACAAAACACGGAATGTATACCAGGTGAAAGAGAACAGGAAAAGCAAGGTAAAGTTTCATTTCCTTTTGAAAACACAGATTGAAGGAAAAGTATTTTTCAGGTCTTTGAGTTTTTTGGGTCCCATTCACATGGGGCATTATGAGCTTCCTGTGACAGGAATCCCAGGTGTCCCCTTGCGGATGCGGCTTCTGTACCCATTTAAGTTAAAGATTGGGTGAGAGCAGCCGCATTTGTCAGTAGCAGTCATACCATTTACGATTACATGTGGTCAACTTACCTGATCTTTGGTCCTGCGGTCATGACCACTCACCTCTCTCCACCATTGCTCCAGCTGTGGTATGTCTCTGTACCTTGTATAGATGTAATGTCAATGGGGTTTAGCGGGCTTGGAGCTCAGGGGAGAAGAGACAGCGTGGAGTGGTCTAGCAGCCAGGATCAAGTGAGTATATCTTTATTTTAGACCGTAGCCCAAAACGAGCAGAGTTGGGGTTCTCCCACACTGCAAGGGTTAGTTTTTTAAATGCCCAGAATTCATTAATTTTTAGAATTTAGATAGATGCACTTTAAGGTTTGGGGTGTATGGGTTAGATAGATGCACTTTAGGCTTTAAGGTTTGGGGTGTATGGGTTAGAATGACACACTTTAAGGTTCTGGTGTATGGGTTAGAATGATACACTTTAAGCTTTAAGGTTTGGGGTGTATGGGTTAGAATGACACACTTTAAGCTTTAAGGTTTGGGGTGTATGGGTTAGAATGATACACTTTAAGGCTTGGGGTGTATGGGTTAGAATGATACACTTTAAGGTTTGGGGTGTAGGTGTTCGATAGATACACTTTTTAAGCTTTTAGGTTTGGGGTGTATGGGTGCTGACCCAGGATATTCTCCAAGTTTTGGAAAAATGACAGAGATTCAACCTCTGGACATCTCACTTGACCTCTCCATAGCCTTTGGAGAAAGGTGACATCGATCTTTCCACTTTAACCCCTTCATGACTGAGCTTGTTTTTGGTTTCTGTTCGTAAATGACTGACACACTTTTGACATTTTTGCTGTGTGATTCTTCCACGTCAGTAATATACTTTCTTACAAAGTGCACCCACACATATTATATATTGTTTTTTAGAGGACAGATAGGGCTATATATTTATATCACATATGTGTGTCTAACGCCTCACTTAGGACAAATACAAATTAAAAAAAGAGGAAAAAACGTAAAAAAAAACTTTTTTTCCCAGTTTTGATTTGTAGTATTTTTTTTTAACAAAACCAGCACAGCTAAAAAAAATGCAATACATACATTCATTTATTTGTCCCTTATTTTTAATTTTTTTTACACTTTTCACTATTTTTTTTAATTTATTTACACTTTTCACTTTTTTTATACTGACAAATGTTATTTATTTAATTATATCAGGCAGTCATTGTGAATTAATCTCACTATTACTGCTTGATAAATTAATACATTTTTTTTATTATCAGGCTGCTTCAAACTTCAGAACAGCCGATAATAAGTTAGTGACACTGATCCTGCAGCAGTTCAGGATTCAGCTGTCAGTGAATGTTTCAGAAAACTTAAACATTCTACTTTCAAGAATAGATACATTATGTGTCTAATACATAACATTTTGTATCTATTCTTGAAAGTCAAAAGATAAAAAAAAAAAAAGCCAGTATAGCTTGAGAGAGATATCTCTCGATCTATACGAGCTGTCAGAATGCCGGCAAAAGCCTACATGTGTGTCTGCTTTGCGGTGACTCTCAGACACCCGATATTAAGGTATCGGGTGTCTGAAAAAGGTTAACCCTTTCAGTAATGGATCTCTAGATAGTTAGACATCTATTACTGAAAGGTAACCGCTGATTCTCAGCGGTTAGCAGCCTTCTAGTGCAGCAAATAACTCGTCACGTACAGTGTACGTGACGAGTCATTTGGTCCCTTTGTGGCTGGACGTACAGTGTACGTCTCCCGTCACGAAGGGGTTAAAGAAACGTTTGATATGGGCCGTAGCTTGCAGTTCAAGACAAAGCAGGTGACATGGATGTTGTGAAGCAATGCTCACTCAGGCTCATATCCTATCACGCTCTTTTCTAAGTCAAGTAATCATTAAATATTCATTACAATTTTACTAAGCTATTTTTAATGCCCGTTGGTTAACTTCTTGGCAGGCAGTGGTGCAGTTTTTTGTTTTCTGTTCCTGGCAGCCATCCTACTTGTGCACCTTATTCCCCTTTCCCATCTCTGCGTGGGAGTAGAATGAACATCAGATTTGAATATCAGTACCTCTTTCACTATGACCACATTCCGATAGTTCTGATTATATATGTATGTTTCAGCCATGACATTTTCAGTGCTATAACTGTGCAGCCTGTGTTCCCAGGGTCAGGTTACCCTTGCCCTAGATTAGTAGACTGCATAATAGGTTTAGCAGCTTTCATATCTTTAGGAGCTTCAATAAGGGATATTCTGCGTTTCCTAACCTGACTATTCGCTGGGTTTTCCCTCTGTTTTCAGATGTTTTGGAGGATGATTACTGGTAATTGTTTTTCCAGGAGTCCTCCATGACAACCCCCCTAGGTATTTCACTCATTATAACAATTATAAGGCATTAATTGTACCTGCACCTTCATAAAATATTGAACTTTATCAAGTCCGTTCTTACTGTCTCAATAGATGGTAGGGGTAATCTCTTGGGCTGTTGTAGTGGACCGCAGCTAATACAGTCATTGATATGTGTAATTCATTATTTCTGTTCGAGGGACAGCATTCTTAACAATCTAAAGCAATAGTAGAGAATTGTAACATGTTAGTTGTCAATTAATGCAGAAAGTTTGGCAATTAAATGATATGCTTATTTGGCTAACATAAGTCATTAAAGATGCAAGCTTTCGTAATGTCTAAAGCTCAGTATACACTTAGATGTTTTTCATTCGCACCTAAAAGCTGAATGACTAACAGATTCCTCTATCCACGCTAAACAACATAGACGGAGAAGTCAACCCTCTGCGGCTATAGTAGTTTGACAGTCAGCCATCAAAACACCTGAGCAGTGTGCACATCTTATTGGATGCAGGAGTTGCTGGGCCATAAGATTTCCTCCGGGATTCTTTGACTTTTCTATCAAAGGATGTCGGGCAGGAGCCAGCCAACAGGGCCACCCCTCCCCCAAACCAACGGAGCAAATTTTGTTCAGTTCAGCAAGAATCAGCCAAAATGTACTCCATGTATACTTGGCTTTAGATCCCTTCTTCAGGCTATTGAACTTGTCAGCGTTCAGTACTTTCAATGTCCAGGAGGACACTGCCTGTGTCCAGTGGTGCATTTAGGTTTCGTGCTGCCCTAGGCAAGAGAAAACTCTGCCCCCCCCCCATTTAGATTTGTCCCACCCCTTCCTGTTGAAGACATTTTGCATAACCTGTCAGTCGCTGGATACAGCGCTAACCTCTTTCACCCGGAAGCTCTCTCCTGCAAATTAGGCCACCGCGAGGCCCCACGAGCTGCCGCCTAATTTGCCTGATGAGGCTGCCTGATTCTGTGCGCTCGGTTTGCCTCACTAATTTGCGGGCAGTTTTTTTCACTGTCCCCCTGCAAAGTGCTGCCCAAGGCAAACGCCCCTGCCTGTGTCCCCCCTGCTGTAAACTATAGGGCTTTGGAACTTTGTTTGCTACCCAGGGGCCTGTTATCTGACACTCCGTGAAGTGTTGAATACGGAACAGTCTGACAATGGCTGCAGCAATGAAACAGAGCAAAGGTAGTAGACACAGGCTACTATACAGATGCGTATAATAGCACTTTTTTGTTTTTAGGCTTTAGGATGTTTGTTTATAGGTTATATAACACGTTACAATGGATTCATCATAAGTATGTGAAAATAGGATGGTTAGGGGAGGTATGGAAGAATAAAAAGAGGGGAGGGGAGGATAATAGCTCTTCTGTTGCAGGGAATTGCCAGTAGTATTTTTTTTTTTTTAGGCGACTGTCAGTGTCACTTGAATAGGGAAGCTTTGTGTTTTTCACATACAGTAGTTGGTTTGCATTGCTTACCTTGCTGTTTATTAATAATTAGCTTTTAGAAGTGGGTGAAATAAAGATCTGCAGTATAAGCTTTGTATAAATGAATGCAAGACTGGAGAGTGAAAACAGCATTTCCATCACGGATACAAGTAAGGGCTATTAGGACCTTTTGCATGATCTTCTCAAGCAGGCTTCAGTGTAACAGATGAAAGGGTGGTGATGAAGTGCTAAGTGCCATAACCTATATCAACCAATTGAATTTACTTCCTGAAACACGATCAGTGAAAGATGCAGTGCGATGGTGTACATTGCTGTTTACCTTCTCGGGTAAACCCATGAAACTAATGTTTTGTCCTATGATTCTCTTTTAGAAATTGAGGAAAAAGGGGTTCGGATGAAGCTGACAGTCATAGACACTCCTGGATTTGGGGACCACATTAATAATGAGAACTGGTAAGTTGACAATTTCTTAAAGTGAACCTGTCTTTTAAAGCGGGTAGGTCACAATGCAGGGAAGTGGAGGCTTTGGGAACAAAGTACCGGTAGGCATAAGCTTATGTGGATACCTCGGAGGAGGATCCAGAGCATGCCTATTCTCCATTATGAGACGTTGGAGACAGATTCTGGACCTATAGTTTGAAAATGACTTTAGTTTTCATGTTCCTTATGCTCAGTAGACTCTTACAAGAAGAACCCCAATACTCAACTGCATTCTGAAGCTGTCCCCCTATAGGTCCACTAAAACTCTGCTATTTACTGCCTAATTCTATGGCAAATGGACTGCAAAAGTGAGTCATGAGCAGCCAATCGGTGATCCTGCCACTGGCATTTCCTGTCCCTTCAATGCGGCTTTAAGGCCGGTTCACACCACAAACTCCGCATTCCAGTGTGTTCCGCCCCTGGAACGCAAGCCGGCCGGCTCCCTGCAATCAGGGGCGGGAGGGGGCGTGGCGGTACATTGAAGTCAATGGCACTGCAGCCACACCCCCGCCCTGCAGCAGTGTGATCGCCCGCACCTGGAACGCAGACAAATTAGTGACTACTGAAAGTACTATTTTTGCAGAACGCACTGGACCGGAACGCAGACACTGTGTTTGCATTCCGGGTGCGGGCGATCGCACTGCGGGGGGAGAGGCTGCGGTGCCATTGACTTCAATGCACTGCCACGCCCCTGCCGCCTCAACACAGGGAGCTTGCTGACTTGCATTCCAGAGGCCGAACGCTAGGTTTGTGGTGTGAATCAAGGGGCCAAGAAGACGATTCCTGCAGGTTGCAGTTAAGTATTTTGGCACTAGCTCCAGCTTTTGGTTATAGGCAGGCAAAACCAAAGTCGTTTGCTAGATTTATGCAAAAAACAATAAATCTGCGCTCCTACCCCTCGCCCTCAATGAGATTATGAGATAGCAGCAAGTGTACTGTGAGGAAAAAAACATCTAAAAAAAAAAATCTTAATCACTGCGGCTAATAAACCCTTTTGCTCTTCATATAACAAAAAAGTGTAACAAATAATCAAATACAAAGTGTTCCAAAAAAACTGTTATACACAAAATGTGAACTTTAAACAAAAGAAGTGCCTATAAATAAGTCATACACAAAATGCCAGTATGTGGTTTCCGTGCTTTTTAATATGTGCCACTCCATTTCAAAGATGTATCCCGTGTTTACACACCACACTCACCGAAAGGAGATTGACCACACACAAAATGGTCAGACCGTGCTCGTTTCCATATCCTTCCTCCTTCAGATACTCCTGTTGAGGTTCACAGCACTAGAAACCTTATTTTAAATCCACACTCTTTTTTATATTTACGCCGCTCAGAAAAAAGATAGAAACATAGCATAAAACCAAGTAACTTTATTATAAACGGTAATAAACACATAAAACTCAAATAAGCCCACCCGCCAGTATTAGAAAGCGATGCTTTACTCTGCTTCAGTCCTCTCTGGATGAGGTAGTTCAGAAAACATCCCACACTACCTGGTCCAGGACAGTGGCGTCACTAGGGGGGCGAGGGGGTGCGGCCCGCACCTGGGTGACACCATTGGGGGGGTGGCACCAAAATGACGGACAGTCATTCTGGTGTCACCCCCTCTGGAAAGTCGGGCACTCGGTCATGGGCTGAGAGCCCGACAGTTGCACCCGCCGTATAAACGTCCCCTCCTCTGCCCACATCCATCCATGATGGCCGCCGGCAGGTAACTGCACGTATGTGTGCTGACTTCATGGCTGGGTGTCACCCGGTATCTGCTCTGCTTGCGCAGCAGAGCTCAAGCAGTGTTAGGGAGAAGCAGCACACGATCAGAGCAAGGAGCTATACTGATAAAAGGAGAGAGCAGAATGACAGAGACATGAGCTTGTCAGTGTGGTGTTTTTCCTTTCAGTGCCCAGTCACAGGCTGGGGGCAGGGAGGAGACCTGTAAGGGAAAGTGCAAATGCAGCAGAGATCAGATCCCTTTCCCTGCCATACAGGGCTGTGCATCACAACTGTGTATTTCTTAGGACTGGATGGATAGAAATACAAATCATTGGCGGGTAAAACGCCTCCTTTTGTATGTATTTTATCTGTGTAATCAGCTGTTTGCCTGGAGTTCAGCTTTAAGACACCCCCAGATATCAGTTGCTTAGAAGATCTAACCAAGAAACACTAATTCTTAAAGAAGAACTCTGTGAGAAATGTATAACTTTTGCAACTGCTCATTTTGGTCTACGCACCTGATCCTCCAAGCCAGCCAACCGTGACAGCGCTACCCCTTGGCGTCCTCACGTCCTATACACAGTGTATAGAATGGGATGACTCGGGACCTTAGACTGCTGCATTGGAGGGGGAGCGAGGCTGGGAGGACTGGTGGAGTAAGCTGGCTCGGAGTATTGTGTGAGTATAACATTTGTGTGTTTTTTTTTTTTTTTTTTCCTTTTTGTAGACCAAAACGAGCAGTTAACCTTTGCCGTAGCCCCACTGCAAGGGTTAATAGGAAAAATTGCCTGGAGTTCTTCTTTAAGAACAAGCATGCTGTTATCTGTCCTTCCCAGACCAGTCGGGACCAGTGTTTGAAGAGGTTGCAGAATACCTACTAACATGCAATCAGTTCCATATCCGACCACACTGTCCAGATAGGCCAACAGTCATCTCCACTTTGTAATGTATCGATAATACGTAATCACCTGCACTCCATGCAGCGTACAGACCTTGATGAAAGTTTGGTGCTTGAAGTGACAACACGGATGGCGCCGTGCCAGATACAGTCCATAATAGAAGTCACCAGCACTCGATGTGTGCAAGAAGTAAAGGACTTTTTTATTAAATTGTCACATGCGTCATACAGCCAACGTTGCGTGGCCACACAGGGTCCCTTCTGGGCGACATAGTGACAGAAGATTGACCCTGCGTGGCCCCGAAATGTTGGCTGTATGACGCATGTGACAATTTAATAAAAAAGTCCTTTACTTCTTGCACACCGAGTGCTGGTGACTTCTATTATGGACTCTTTGTAATATATTCACATCCATCTGTTCAAACTCTTGCCACTTTTAGTGTGAAACCTCTTGACAAACATCTAGCGGTATATTTTGGCACATGCCCAAGAAAGGCTTCATATAAATATGATTGTTGTTGTTGTTGGTATATGCTGCATCTATAGAAAAATTCACATCCATTTTCACATAAAAACATTTAACTTGTAGATTTATAAAACGTTGATGACTCTTGAGTGTTTTATGATTGGCATCTACAGTTCCTATAATGAGATTTGAATTATCTCTACAGCTGGATGCCTATTATGAAGTTCATTAATGACCAGTATGAAAAGTACTTACAGGAAGAGGTGAACATCAACCGTAAGAAGAGAATCCCAGACTCCAGAGTCCACTGCTGTATATACTTTATTCCGGCCACAGGACACTCGTAAGTCACTCTCTGGGAATGTACTGTATAGTGTTTTGTGTATCCAGGACTCCAATCCAACGCTAATTACTGAATGATTATTCCTACTTTTTTTTTTTTAGGTTACGGTACACATGATCTAAACAAAACAAAAAGTGCATATACAAGTTTATTCAAGTCTTCAGTTTATGGCTCTGCAATATTTGCTGAAATTATTTGAGCAGCATGGAAGATTTTTTTTTTTGGGTCATGACCTTGTCACTATACAAATAAGACACATGTACATATTATCCTGTATTGTTTATCTATAAGGAGGGAAAATGTGTATTTGTGTGTAACTAGGCGAGGCATGGGAACAGTATACTGTGTTTAAGCTTGTTGTTGCAAATTGACAACCTCACTCAGTCACTTGTCCTATTAACAGCACAGATTTACTGATAGATAAAAATATACAGTATATTCTATTAACATCAAAACCCCCCACATCAGACTCTTCATGTCTATAGCCAGATTCTTCTTAGCGTGCCCAGTTTTAGGAAATGACTCAGGGCCTTAGAACAAGTCTATGAGGGCTCACTGCCCAGGCATGGCCAATGGTAAACTACAGCTACAGCCTGAGATGAAAAACCTGTCCCCTGCCAGCATGCAATAGAAAAAGACCCGTGCTCCTTGTGTGGAAGCTGTGCTCCTTGTGTGGAAGCTGTGCTCCCTGTGTGGAAGCTGTACTCCCTGTGTGGAAGCTGTGCTCCCTCTGCGGAGGTCTGACACACCCCTGCTGATGAGTCAAACATATAGTTCTATCGTCGGCAAAGCTCATGCTCCCTGTTGATTTGGAGCGCTCTGGCTCTGACTTACAGCCACACTAGCATTAGAAAGCTGGGTGCTATGAGCAGAGTGTCTGCAAACCTTGCAGCACACCGTTCCCCACACAAAATGCCAAGCTTCCAGGTAGTAAAGAGAGGGCGTGATGCTTCCTGAGGTGTACAGTGCTCCGGTCACATCACCCGCCCCTTTTCACTATGCTCCATTCACAAAATGTCATGTATTTTTTTTTTTTTTTTAAAACATGTCTTGTAGTAATGCAACCGAGCACTCTACAACTCGAGACACAACGCTCCCTATCTTCAGTTCCCAGAAGCTGGGCGTTGTGTGCTAGGGCCAGTGTGCTGCTAGGTATGTTTATTTTTTTGTACTTTACAGCCACCCTCTGCACAGAATGCCCAGCTTTTTAATGATAATTTACACACCCAGTGTGGTGCGTAAATTATGATTCTGCCCTGAGTGTGGCTTTAATGGGGGGGGGGATTGTCAGACCTCTGCAGAGAGATGAATGATTTCCCACAGAGAGCAAAAGTTTCACTTTGCAGCATGCTGGCAGGGGACAGTCTCTTCTAAGAGAACAGACTGTAAGACATTGAACACTTTTTGTTCTTGTATACCTTAAGGCACATGTGTCAAACTCGAGGCCCAGGGTCCGAATCCGGCCCACCAGGCCATTTCCTAGACTTCTACTTTCAGATCTAGGTATTAAGTTACTACTAAAACGAGTGATAATCGAATGCAGAGGCAATTATGATAAAGATTAGATACATTTATATAGTCTTACAGGCCCTTTTGAGAGCAACCATAATGTTGATGCGGCCCACCATTAAATTGAGTTTGACACCCCTGCCTTAAGGGTTCACACCATGTCTGGATCATGTCCAGACTAGAACAGTTTGTTCGCGGCCCAAAAAAGCATCCCTATAGTATTTCTAGGCTCCGTTCACACCAGCGCAGTCCGTTCCAGACCAAAACAATCTGATTTTCTCTGGTCTGGAATGCACTGGAACGTATGGAAACGCATCAAAAAGGCATTCAAACCCATGTAAACGCACTGGACTGCACCTGTAAGCCCATTTTAAGCTAAAAAAAAAGCTACAAAATTGTGGTAAAAATGCGGCAAAACGCACTGCGTTTGCAGATCTGGTCTGGACATGGTGTAAACATACCCTGAATGTATTCAAACTGAGAGTTCAGCTGAGCTTTAATCAGGAACTAAGTCCGTCACTCGTCCGGCTCTGCAGTGAGGAAAACTTGTTCAACTTACACGACTGGCTGTAGAAAATTACAAATCCTTTGGCAGCTAAAACAAATATGTATTTCAACTGCATATTTAGCCGTTTGACTTGTTTAACTTTAACTATGCGTCAGATCCTATCAGCTGCACAATAATCTGCAGCCTGTCCAACTAGCCATTAATGAACACTCATGTTTATAATCTGGGCAGCAAACACAGGAAAAGGGTACTGTTTAGGCACAAGTTACACTTTTAGACGTTCCCTATGTCATAGTAGATCTTCAATTCTGACTTTTGGTCGACTTTAAGCCAAATACTAACCCAAACTGAAGCACTGACTATTCAAGCGACCGTCTCTGACGGCATCATCAAATTTTCTGATGAGATGTTTCTTATGAACGTTCCTAGCTGTCAAATGCCTGGTGTCATAACTGATCACGAGTGCTGCACCATGTCAACTGCAGGCCTAACTAGAGGTTAAGATGGTGCCATCTTTGGCAGTAAAAGATAGACGGATTTATAGGTATTTATATCAGTAATACATAGGTGTCTTGCTGCACTCCTTACCGGTATAGGATGTTCCTTAAAATCCTGGCGGGTGCTCGTAGTGACCACGGATGGCGCCGCAAAGAAATACAAGTCTGCAAAAGGATGTCACCAGCACACCATTTAGGGGAAATCGACAAAAGTCAATTTATTAATGGAGTACTGTCATTCCAGTACAAGCGCTTACGGGGCCGCACAGGGTCCCCTTTATCAAACTCAGAATGACGATCGGTATTTATATGGCGCCAACATTTTACGCGGCACTTTACATGCCCTCAAGCAGCTTACAATCTAAGGTCCCCATCTCGCATAGTGTCAGGGCCGACTTAGCCGTATAAACCTATAGATTTTCGTTGCTGCCAAGAACCCTCATTTGACTCTTGCCCAAATAGCCCATCATGCACAGACAAATATTGATATCGATAATCGTTGGTTAACAATACTAACTCACCAAATTTTGTCGATCGACAAAACGGATTTTCGTTTGCGCATTTGCAGTGCTCTCGCTGCAAAAAAAAATTCCCGTACGAAAAGGCCACTAACCCATCGACTTTCGTTTCGATTCCAAAAACGTTTTTCAGTCTCACCCTTCGAAAAAAATTCGAGCAGGATTACAGTAAAAGTAAATCGTGTCCCATCAACTGTTCGATTTTCGAACGAAAATCGAAGAGTGTATGTCCACCTTTAAAGGAGAACTATGAGGTGAGTGCTTTTCACTCACCTCATAGTTCTAGCCGACCTGTGACAATGAGACTGTCACAGGTCGGCTCAGTAGATCAGGAAGTGAGCGAACACATACCGGCGTTCGCTCACCTCTCGATCCTGTCACGGCTGTGACAGGGGAGGGGCTGGATTTCCCCCGCTCCGATCCGCCAGCGCTGACTGGCGGAACAGGAGGGGGCGGGTACAGCTGGCTCTGCCTCTAGATAGGCAGAGCCAGCTGTCACTCACGCAGCTGGGCGAATCTCGACATCGATGTCGGGATCCGCTGCAGCGTCTCAGTATACCGCGAGCTGTAGCTCGCGGTATATTGAGCTTAGGCTAATGGGAGGACGCTAGTTTGTGTCCTCCCGTTACCCTAAGGAGAACTATGGGGAAAAGCCCTAACCCCATAGTTCTCCTGTAAGACAGGAGCCAATTAACCTGGAAGCATGTCTTTCGAACGTGGGAGGAAACCCATGCAAGCACAGGGAGAACATGCAACGCCTTGCAGATAGTGTCCTGACTGGGATTTGAACCGGGGACCTCCAGTGCTGCAAGGCAGAAGTACTAACCATTAAGCCGCTGTACTTAATTTCATTTTAACCCCTGCTGCGTACTTGCCTAATTCTGTGTCAGTGTGCATTGTTACCAGGAAGACCCCACACCGAATCATGCAGCACTTAGTACCCACAGCCAGGATACATTTTTAAACTTGTGCAACATGGTCTGTTCATCTGTCTTGTTCATTCGCAGCATTATTGCAGAGCAACCGGTCATCTTTGACCTGTTATTCTACAAATAATTATTTTATCTTATGCAAGTATCTTACTTACAAATGGAATACATCTAATTTTTAAACTTGAAGAGTCTCTTGACCCTTGATTGCTTAATTCAACCACTTTGGTTTTGTTTGCTAATATGCCCGGGGATATTTCCTTTCTGCAAACTCGCTATTTCTAAACTTTTTCCTTTTGGCTCGAGTCGTAGTGTTGCAAGGTTTTGCCTGTTTTGTTGCTGGGTGATGCAAATCCTGAAAGACAATCAAACATGTTCATATTGTATAAAGCTGTATAGATTTAATCTGATTCATAAACATATTTTCATTGCAGTGATCTTGCTTCATGTACTGAGCTTTATAGGCCGGCGCTGACTTAAGTTTTATTAACCTGGCTTCAAATGTTTTTGTTTTACAGACTCCGGCCACTGGACATCGAGTTCATGAGACGCCTGAGTAAAGTGGTGAACATTGTACCCGTCATTGCCAAAGCAGATACGTTAACCCTAGAGGAAAGAGATTATTTTAAACAGAGAGTAAGTTTCTATACTTTATGCTGGTGGTAACCTATGTGTCTTATCAGTAACGTCAGCCAAGGGTTTATACTTCTTCCAAGTGAACCTGTGCCCAGACTATGCATAAAAAAGTATTTACCGTATTTTTCGCTCCATAAGACGCACTTTTTTTCCCCCAAAAGGAGGGGGGAAATGTGCCTGCGCCTTATGGAGCGAATACCTATCGCCCGACGCCCGGGACATGCAGTTTCGAGCACCTGGCGAGTAGTTTTTTTGTACATTCAGCCCTGCTCCTGACTAGCAGAGCTGAATGTACAGTGGGAGCCGCTGCTCGTTTAATACAAGTGATCTAATTAGATCACTTGTATTAAATCGAGCGGCGGCGATCGTGTCCGCCGCCCTGCCGTGGTTTTTGGGGTCCCCCGCTCCTGGGGGACCGTGACCACGGCATAGGAGCTCACCATAAAGCCCCTTGAGCAGACGAACGTCGTTCTTCGTCTGCTCTGTGTGATTACTGAGACCATGGCGCTGTGATCACAGTGCCACCTGTCTCAGCGGTCACTGAACTGCAGCTTCTGTCATAGAATGACAGAATGCCTGTCACAGAATGCCTGCGTCCTATGGACCGGAGCGCCTTATTGAGCGCAAAATACGGTACATATCCTGAGAATCAGTAAAAGTACTTTAAATCAAGCCCTTATTTCGGTCTGTATCTGTAAGCATTGTGGAGAAATTGATTTTCAAAGTGCACAACACAGACATTAAAATCTTAGCTTTTTTTTCTCTGAGAACAAATCTTTGCAGCCTGCCAGCCCTTCAATGTAAACAAACAGCAGGTGTGGCTAAGTTCTTGTAAATGAATAGAAACACACAGACGTAAGGCCCTGTTTACACCTGAACATTGCTTTTTATCTCCATTGTTATGTGTCACCATTGAACTCTATATTATGCACGTTTTGATGAAAGCATGTGCCACTTTATAGATCATCTGGAGTATGCGGTCTAGTTTTGGGCACCAGTAAACAGAAATGATGTCCTTGAGCTGGAAAGAGTCCAGAGGAGGGCAAACAAACTTATTAAGGGGATGGCGGACCAGAGCTATGAGACAAGGCTACTAATTTGACAAGTACAAGTACTTGTCAAAATGCCCTGTATCGGGCCCGATTCCGATGCTAGCACCGGTATCGGGACATCCCTACATGTTCTCATTGGAAGTAAGGAGATTTAGGGGGGACATGATTTTCATGTACAAAATGTTTACCGGGGATAGCAACATTAGCAGCAAACTCTTTACAATTAACTCCGTGATGAGGACGAGAGGCCACCTCCTAAAATTGGTGGAGAAAAAATTTCAGCACAAGGGGCGAAGGGGTTTCTTCTCAGTTAGATCAGTCAGGGTCTGGAACTCACTGCCACATGCGGTGATTTCAGCTAAGAGTGTGGAATCATTCAAGAGGCGATTGGACGATTTCCTCAGGGACCGTAATATACAGGGGTACAGGTATTCTTAAGAATAAGATCACACAGGGACCTATACATACGCACACATCAGTAGGACCATACACATACAATAGGTTGGACTTATGTCTTTTATTCAACCTCAAATACTATGTAACTATGTCACATATCAAAGGTGCTGCAGGCAGGACTTTTTGATTGCACCGCACCTGAAACACACATGTGAAAACAGGGCCTTAGAGTATTTGGTGTGATCCTAAAAACCAATTACTTCACATTATAAGCAGCTAGAGAGGTCAGGGTTGGCTTGCTTTGAAGCTGAACTCCAGGCACCAAAACTTGCATTTAAATACATTCCTCAATAGCCACAGAGTATACTGCGTATAAATCCAAATCATGTGCATGATGTAGAGAGGAGAGCTGTGGGAGGGACCCAACTGGCCTCACCCACAACAGGCTGCCTGTATTTAGCTACAGGAGGGGGCGGATACAAGACCAGTCACCCTGCACAAGGGAAGAGAGCAGCAGTGACCGGCTTAATTACGGGTAGCTCCTCCACAGAGGTAAAGTGTCACACTGGATTACTGCACAGATCGGGAAGAAATGCCCAAAGCACACTAAGTCTCAAGTAAGAATACACATGACTCTTGTGTTTAGACAATATTTGCGTATCTTAGTTCTTTTACTGCAAGAATTTGTAAATAATAGAATGCCCATAGTCTGGGCACAAGTGCACTATTGATGCACTAAATGTACTCCTCCCCATTCAGAAACTGGATGATAGTAAAATATTTTCTGAATGAATGGGAAGCCCCTGTGCTTCCCATTCATTTAGAACAGAGGCTGCAGAAAAAGAGATTGAGGACTTTGTGTCCTCAATTTCTTTTTCTATTTTAAAAGGGAAATATCAGGGGGCTGTTTAGACCCCTAATATTTCCCCCGAAGTGTGATCAGCCGAAACGCAGGCACATTAGTGCCTGCACTCCGGTCCAGTGCGATCCGCAAAAATGCTGCAAGCACTATTTTTGCAGATCACACTGGACTGGATCGCACTGTGGGCGAGGGGCCTGGCTGCGGTGCCATTGACTTCAATGCACCGCCACACCTCCTCCCGCCCCTGAATGCAGGTGTTTTTTCGTTGGTAGATCTCATTGAGCTCGTCATTTGAAAAGTAGATCTCAGACGAAAAATTGTGGGCGCCCCTGGCAGTGGCGTAACCAGAGTTATGGGCGCCAGGGGCAGACCATTTTTTTTCGCCCCCCCCCCCATATTATATAAACATCCACTGGAACTGTACCCCCCACCCCCACACATATATATCAGCTAAGGAACTACAAGTCCAATTTCCGTTATGAAAGGTTATGCGGCCGTGCTGGAGCCTCGGCCGCATAATCTGCCATAACGGAGCCTGATGCCTGCTGCCTTGTTCTGGTGACAGTCGGCCCGGCTCGCGGCAGGAGCCCCCCGCCATCTATGCGCCCGGGGCGAACCGCCCCCCCGGTTGTTACGCCACTGGCCCCTGGCCTAGAGGGTTGATAAAGCCCCTGGATTCTAATGTGCATTAGATAGTAAGGTGGCAATACCGACCTCCACCATTTCTTACTCTGTTCTTGTCCACCTAGAAGCATTGCATGGTCCTGCCCACCTATTTGTGTTCCAGCATTTACTGTTACATTCTTCTTAATATAAGATATGAAGACTTCACACTCTCCCTGCTGTATTTCTTAACGCTGCTACCAAAAACTGGAATACCAGTTTTACGAAAAGTGAAAGATCAGTTTTAGGTGGACTGACTCTTTTAAGGTCAGTTTAGTCTATTGATGGGCCCTACTAGTCACATCTTCCATGCCGAGCAGGGTGGAATTTGTTTAACCAACATACTGTTACCGGTTTCCTGTGCTCTTCTGATCTTGATAAAGTAAGTGTTGAGGCAGCTTCCTGTGTGCCGGCCACTATGACTTTACACAGGATATTGTTTTAAGCAAATTAAACTGCAGAAATCAAAGATCCTTCGCACATTCTTCTATGATGTAGATGTAGATGTAGATTTTCTCTGTGCACAAATCCGTTCATAAAAAAATTATTTCTAAGAAATATCTGATTGAAAAATTAGGAGGCTGACTCCGTTCTCAGTGCATGTTCAGCTTCCAGGCCGCACTGTCTCACTATTTGTTATAGTGCTGTGTGGCTGACAGTCCTTTAACCAATGACACTGAGCAGACAGCACCCTAGCAACTTTTGACTTTGTGCTGAACGCACCCTAGCAACCGATGTCGCCGTGCTGCACTAGGTGGGCTGGAGCGCCATTCAGAATGAACATGTTGCCACAGTGCAATAGTATAAATGGGGCCTTTCTGATTTTTGCTTGAGAGCCTTCAGCAAACATTTTCTCTTAGTGGAAATTTCCTGCAAACCACTGTAGCGTTCTCTGCCTGCATAGAGTTCTGGATGCACCCCTAATCGCATGAATCTTCACTCATACTTGAATTGTGGATAGGTCTGTTAGGGCTTGTGTACATGGTCATTGCTGTAAAATATAGGCTTTTACATTTGAACGCAGTGTCCTATTAGACATGCATTTGCATTGAAAGTAAAGAAGCTCAAACACAACCTTTTGCATGCATGTGTGTGAGCTGCTTTAGCTTTACTGCAAATGCATGTCTAATAGGACATGCAGGGATCAGAAAAAGACAATGCAAAGCAATCTCCAAACCTCCACACTGACAATTAAGGTAACAGACCTGTAAATGACATGCGTTTATAATGCACATCAATAGCAGGTACGCAATGTCCTTGTACACAGGCCCTTCAAGTGTACTGGTCGAACCAGTTCCTATTGGACTGCAGTCATATTTAGACACACTGTGCAACTACTATAACAGGACTGTAGTGATAGAACCATGTGATAGAACCAGCGTCTGTTTGATTGCATACAGCAGGCTAGCAACTGCTGGGGAATCTTTAGTTTGCGTTTTTCCCTTGCCAGTGTGGCCAAGAACAATGGCAAACATCTTACTGCACCACATTTGTAGAAACTAACATACACCTTGCATGTCTCATAACTTAAAAGAATGTGGAGGTTGCTATTATTGAACTCTATATGAAAATACTTGTTGCCGGGCTGTTTCTCGCTGGAATACTTTTGAGTCCCTGACCCAGGAGGAAGCATGCACATAAGAATAAGGGAGATTGTAGTCAAACATCCTAATCTGCACACTTGTTCTAGGTGAGCGATTCAGAAATGATTGAAGATTAAGATGAGGACGGCCTGGAAAGCTGCTTTCTTGGCCCCAGAGAACAGAATTCCCTTTCTACATTTGATTTGTGATATATTGAGAAAGGCTCATTTATAAAACCGCCACCCAATATATAGCTGGGGGATTGCCATTCATACAGCATTACTGATTCTGGATGTAGACGAGGAGCATAGGAATTTTGCTCCTTGCCTCTATCTAGTGGTAGTACTACCATGCAAACAACATTTACCCAGCTGTACACTGGGCCTAAGTTTTAAACACCAGCACCTTAGTTACATAGTATTTGAGGTTGAATAAATACATATGTTCACATATGTAATCCCCCTTGCAAATGGTCGCCTATCATTATATGAAAGGCAAGGTTCTAAAGCAAGAATATTCAGTTTGTGGCAACTGATCAACCAATGAGACACTTCTAATATGAAAACAGATTTGCCAGTGAGGATATAAAGGATGTCACCCTATCATCTTTCTTTGCATGGACACCAAGGCAAAGGAACAACTTCTTCAGATACATTTGCTGCTTTCTAATTGTTCTAACAAACCTAAAAAGAACCGTATCTTGCCCCAAAGATTATATTGTAAGAAGTGTTTATTTGGCCAGCTTAACAAAAAGTTTCTTCTGTCCTTCCAGATCCGTCAAGATCTACAGAACAATGGTATAGATATCTATCCTCAGAAGGAGTTTGATGAGGATGCAGAAGACAGGCTGGTGAATGAGAAGATCAGAGTAAGTAGCCAATCATTCTATCCATTCATTTTCCTGGATAGCTGTATCAAGCTCTATAGGTAGAACAAATACTGTATATCTACAATGGTAAGCATTCTTCAGTCGTATTCCTGGACACATTCATTCTGCTAATGAGCCTTTCTGTTTTCTGTCACAGGAAATGATTCCATTTGCTGTTGTCGGTAGTGACCAAGAGTACCAGATTAATGGTAGGCGAATACTGGGCCGGAAAACCAAGTGGGGGACCATTGAAGGTAAGATGTCAAATGCTATTCAGTTAGAATTGTTTGTGTTTACAGGTCAGTGTCACCTATTCTATTAAAGCTGAACTCCAGAGAGATGAAGAAAACACCAATTTCATGCAGTTGCATGGTCATATAAAATCATTAAATGTATCTAAAGGCAAAACTTTTTGTTTTATTTTGGGATGGAGTGGGGAAGGCTTAGAACCTATGTCGGCACCTTAATACTCTCTGATTCCAAGTTTTAAAGAGATTTCTTTGGAACTCCATGCTTACGGCTAAATACACATTTGAGAAATTGTACGGGTTTACTGTTCTCCAAAGATTTTGTCATGTTTACCAGCCATTCTTGTGATCTGTACACCTCCTGGGTTGTCTTCCTGCTCCCCGGAGAGAGATTATGTTCATTTATTGTCCAATAAGGAAACAGATTTGCTGAACCAGGAAATACTTGTCGCCGTTCTGGCTGTAGAGATGATTATACCGATTAATTGTCCAGCGAGGGGGCTGGGAGCCACATAGAAACCCTGAAATAAGCAGGTTATCTGCCTGTCTGTGCAGCATGGCAGAGGTGTATGAACCATAAGGCTGGCTGAAACAAACTGAAGATGTTTTGGCAGGTAAAACGTTAAGCATGCATATTTTTTTTTTATGTCTACAGCCGTCTGTGCTAAAGGCCATGTCCACCAGCGCAGCTATTTTGTATTTGATTGGACAATGACAGGTTGTGTCAGTCTCAGGTTTTTCCCTTATGGGGATTCTGTAGGTGAGATCCACTCTTTAGAATTCTTAACGTCTCTCACTGGCCTTCAGAAAACTAGGTGGCTGTTTTCTACTCTTCATGGGGTTTCTTTTTTTAAATACTGAACTGTTTTTATGGCTTTTTTTATAATTGTCCATTATAGAATCTGCGAAAACATAATGAACTATTAAAAATGTTGTACAAGCTGGGACTTAACCCTTGGTGGGTCATTGGATATGCAGTTGGCTTAAGGGTAGATATCAGAGTATGCTTGTAAATTTGGAACAGAGAGCGGTCATTAGTGATGTATTGCAATGCTGGTGGGAAAAGTATGTATTTTTGCTGATGACACAAAGGTGCTCAATCAGGTTTATTTTACTGGAGGGGTGACATGATAAAATCCCATGAGCGCCAGATCCATCACTTCTTTAGGACTGCAGGAAAAAGCACCTTCCACAAGTGGGCAGCACCTGGATAGTCGGGGTAACTGGAGATCTATTAGGCATGGAACACAAACACAGTGCGCCTCCCTTGTGTAAAAGTGTTTATTAGTTCAAAGAAAAAAAAAGGCAAGAATTGTACTCAAACAGCAATCAGTAAGGAGCCTTAATATAAAAGGTCTTGACAGCAAAGGCGAAAACCTCTGAACAGCACGCCTTGGACTATGCAGACTGGAGCACAGGTCCTTCAAACTGCATGTCAGCTTCTAGTTTAACGCGTTTTCGAGCAACACGCCCCCTTCATCAGAACATAGCAGCCTTCTCCCCTGTGTGTCGGATATCTAGTTTACTATCCAATCAGAGACCGGTCACTTGGATCAGCATTTCAATGGGAGTGTCCTCTGGGATGTCACATGAGCGCCTTTTAAGACCGTCTACTTGAAACTGAGAGGGCGGCTATGTAACCCGCCCGGAGTCCGCTGTCAAAACAGCAGGAGCTGGCGGGCAGTCTAGGGCCCACCCATCAACCAGTCAGAAGACGGGGCGGAGAGTATCGTTGGGCGCTCTGTGCCTTTTTGTTTTTAGCTAAACATAGATTTATACTATAATGCCGCCTC